AGAGAGGGAGAGCAAGGAGATATCTTGATAGAGGGAGCCATTATGGGGTAAGGTAGAAATCTGGTGCTAGGGAAACTCCCGGGAATCCACAAGGATGACCCCATCTAAGACCCTTGGGAATAGTGGAGATGGTGCCTGAACTGTCCTCCCCTGTAATCAGATTGATGATCACCCTGTCATCATAGAACCTACATCCAGTAACTGATGGAAGCAGATGCAGAGATCCAAAGCTAAGCACTGAGCCGAGCTCCTGGAATCCAAAGAGAGGCAGAAGGGATTATATGAGCAAAGGGGCCAAAATCATGATAAGAAAACACACAGAGACAGCTGACCAGAGCTCACTGACTATGGATTAGAGAACCTGCATAGGACCAAACTAGGTCCTCTGAACGTGGGTGGTGATTCTGTGACTTGGGCAGTCTGTGGGGCCACAAGCAGTGAGACCAGGATTTATCCCTAGTGCTTAACTGGCTTTTTGGAGCTCATTTCCCTATGGAGGGATACATTGCTCAGCCTAGATACAGGGTGGAGGGACTTGGCCCTGCCTCAACTTGAAATGCTAGGCTTTGTTGACTCTCCATGGGGGGCCTTACCCTTTCTGAGAAGTAGAAGGGGGATTAGGTTGGAGAAAGGTGCAGGAGTGGGAGGAGGGGCAGGAGAGAGAACTGTGGTTCCTATGTAAAATAAAAAAAAACTTAAATAAAAAATTTAAAAAATATATTTTGGTGGTTCTAAATCTCTTTAAAGATTGCTGTGAACAATCCCCTTACCCTACCCAAACACACCTGTAAAAACAAAAAACAAAAAAGCAAAAACCAAAAAAGAATGTTTTATAAACCAAGCTTTAAGGCAGTTTTACATGGGTAATTTTCCAGATTTAGCACTGAGAAGCAAGTGCTAGAAACTCAAGGTTATACATCATTTTGGCCTTCACAGAAAAATTTGTCTTTGACAAGAATGCCATAAAATATATATTATTTTCCCCAGGGGCAAATTGGTTCTCTCTTCCTTACTTTTTTTTCCCCTTTTCTTTTCTTTTCTTTTCTTTTCTTTTTTTTTTCTTTTTCTTTTTCTTTTTTTTTTTTCTCTTTTTTTGGACACAGGATGTTACTGCGTAGATTTAGACTTACCCGACCTGGAACTGGCTGCAGAGAACAGGCTGTTCTCAAACTCAGAAAGCTCTGGCTCTGAGCTCTGGCTCCCAAATGCTGGGGTTGAAGCATGATACACTACCATGCCAGGCTTTTCAATGATAACTCAAGATTTTATTAGCAAAAAGGACCAATGAGACCATTGGGCAGGGGGGATGGCTTGTTTTCCATAATTCTCTTTCTAGTCCGCTTCAATTTGAACATATTCAGCTTAGCCTCAACTCAGATTTGAAGTTCAGTAACCTAGGTGGAGTACTCATTTTCAATTTATGAAATCATTTCAGCTTGAGTTTATGGAAGCAAACATTACCAAATTTGAAGAGCATTTGTATTTACTGGAAGGCAGTGTTCAGGGCATTGTTGGAAATACTTGAGTAAGTTATAAAAGCTAAAACCCATCCAGATGAATTCACACTCACAGGAAAGTCCTGTTCTATGATGAGACACGAGACACACCTGAAAAACAGTTCTGGTCTAGCGATGTGGCTTTGGATAAAGCACCTGCCACACAAGTGGGAGGACTTCCGTTAAAATCCCCCGGAGTCGAGTAAACATGAGATTCCAGCAACGCTGGAATGTAATCCCAGCATTCCTGTGACCAGATAGGAGAACCCCAGAAGTTCACGGGGTGGCTATCATATGCAGCAGATACAAGAGTTCCCGCCTCACTTAAGGTGGAAGGTAAAGACTGACATCCAGAGCTGACCTTGGACCTAGACACGTGATCTGTAGTCTATGCGTGTTCACACACAAAGGCCTTTAAAAAGTAGACAGTTCTCAATTAGTAGCAGGGACCAAGACCAAACAAGCAAACAAAACCCGATTCTGTACATGTCTTTAACATTTTTTTAAATTGAATACATTTTGCAAACTGAAAAAGAGAAAAACCCATCTTTGAACTAATGAGCTCATGTTAGTCAGGGTTTTCCAAAGGAATAGAACAAAGGAAATTATTATAGAAGGCATTACTAGATTGTTGTATATAATAGAGGCCGGTGATCCAAAAAGGGCTGGCTGTACATCAAGGAAGAAGAAAACTTGGTAGATGCTCACTCCAAGAAGCTAAATGCCTCAGGAGCCCCAATCTGAGGCTAAAAGTTTGGAAACTCCTGGAGAGTCACTCAAATTGAGTCCATGTTGAGGGGAAGAAGGAAATGGAGCCTGGTACCAGCACAGGATCATAGCAGCACTGACAGATGAACTCAGCCGGAAGGAAAGGCAGGTGTGTACCTGCTGCCTTTTCCTGAGACGCCTCTGGAAAGTTGCTGGAAGTTGTTGCCCACATTAAGTGTGAGTTTTCCCCTCCAATCACTGTCCCACATGTCACTACTGTGGAAACTTCCCCATCAAAACACACAGGTGTATTTCACCAGCCAAGTGGATAACAGAGACCAACCACTCCAAGTCCATCCTTCATTAATTTAATACCCAACAACATCCTACGTTTTACAGAGTTTCTAAAGAAAGACAATAAGGTATTTCATCTAACATAATTTTCATATACAATAGAAAACATATTGTTTCCTTAGAATAGGTATCAAAGTCCCTTGAGGAAACTTTATTAATTGATTATACCATAATGAAATATGACAATACATAGCAATACCAGTACTGGCATTAACTCAATAAATATAATCCATGGTAAAGGAAGAGATGAAAGAAAACATGACCAGTTTCTTAACATATGTGTGCACATGTTTCAGCTTCATTTCCTGTTGTAGTGACAAAATATCCAGGTAAAAAGCAAGATAAAGTAAAGGGGGGTTCTTGGCTCATAACTTCATCACTATGAGGAAGCCAACAGGACAGAAACTTAGAGCAGCTAATCACATTACATCCACAGTAAAAAACAACAACAACAAAAAAAACAAAAAAAAAAACAGCAGAGAGCAATGAATTAATGCATGTATGCTTGTACTCAGTTAGCCAACTTTCTCCATGTTTATACACTCCTGGTTCCCAGTCAGGGAATGGCACTTCCAAAAGTGGGTGAGTCTTTCCACCTTGATATCCAATCAGAATAACTGCACAGTGGCGTGCTCAGGGGCCCATCTCACATGTAGTTCTAGATATTTTTTTAAAGAGGGCTATCAACAATAACTATCACACTATAAAAATAAGCTCACATATTCTTTTTGTTTGTTTTTGAGTCAGGGTCTCACTATGCATTCCTGGCTGTTCTGGAGCTAACCATGGAGACCAAATTGGTCTTGAACTCATCGAAGCTCATTTGCCTTTGCCTCCTGGTGCTGGGATTAAAGGAATATGCCACCACACCCACCCCAGCATATATATTCTTAACAAAGTAAGACAGAAAACAGTCAGAGTATTGTGAGGCCCCACAGCTATCCCACACTTCCGCGTATCCTTTTCTGGCGTCATTTTGTATGTCTTCATCTTCAGCAAGCACTAAGCATCTTGATTTTTAAAATTTTAATTTAAAATAAATTTTGGTACAAAAACGTTTGTAAATAAATAAAAGCATCATACCCCTAAATTAGATAGCTCTTTACCTTGAGAAGTGACCTGGAATTCCATTCTTGAAGAATCTGAGCTATTTATTACCCTGCTTGGACAGAGTTGTAGCTTCCTATGGGCTTTGAGCACCAGACATGGTGATACAAAGAAAACCCAGGGACAGTCTTCTGCTCCCCTTGTCCTAGGGCAACGTGTTGCTGCTGTTGCTAAAACACTGACCAAAGTCAACCTGAGGAGGAAAGGGTTGATTTTGGATTGCACTTTACAGTTCAGCACTGAGAAGGCCAGGGTAGAATCTCAAGACAAGAACTTGGAAGTAGGTTCTAAGTGGAGACGATGAAGGAAAAGTGATTATTAGCTGGCTCCTTCCGGCTTGCACAGCCTGCTCTCTTACACAACACAGGCCCACTCCCTAGGAGTAGCACCACCCACAGTAGCCCTGTCACATCCATCATTAGTCAAGAAAATCTCCATAAAGTTGCCTGCAGGCCAATCTTAAAGGAAGCAATCCCGCAACTGATCCTCTTTCCAGATAACTCTAGCAGTGTCAAGTAGACAGAAAATAACTGGCACATCTCCTTTGCTGCAATGCAGCTTCATTCCTCTCTGGTAGTGTTGAGCCCCACTCCTGTAACAGTACCTGTTTGTAGTTAACACAAGGGCACAAGGGACCTGGAGAAAATGGGGATTGGTCAGGGCATGCGTGGGTGCCTTAGCCTGCAGTTCAAAGGAATGGTTGCTCCTCCTGGTAGAAGGACATTCCTTTGTTGAGCCATGAGATCAGTAGAACAGGAAGCAAAAGTTTGTGAGTTCCAGGGATGATTCCCCTGCCCTGACTCCTAGACCCACGAGAGAAATATTAGATGTCAAATTTAGAGCAAACTGAGAATCCTGTCCCAGTACTGTGAACTACCACCAACTCATTTGTGCTATAACTATATTTCGGAAGGCCATGCCACAATTCAATCAACCAAAATTCTTCAGAATATAGGGAACAAGGTTTAAAAAAAAAAGATACTACCTATTAATCCTTGCCACGCTGTTTAAGCAAACTTCAGAGAATTATGCCATGCCACCATTTACAAGAGATTCACTTAGGAATAAATAGTTCCTTTATCTGTTTTAAATAACAGTGTAATATAATTTTTGAACATTTCCTCCAGGTTATGTAACTTTTGGAGCATTCTGCATAAATTATTTGCATTGACTTTTTATAATGCACATTTGTAGTACTCCACTACCTGAAGAATTTCACAGAATTTGAAAACTATTTCTTACAATCTTCAACTTTCTGATGTCTCTGTACAAGTTTTGATATTGGGTGCATTCTTAGTTTGTTCCTTTACATTTGCTAATTTAACAATATGATTAGTGGCAGTCCTCACAACTTCATATTGATACTTGCTTTCTTCCCTAAACATTGTCAAGTTATATTCATAGACGGGACACGCAATAAGAAGGCATTTCCGCATTCTATACTTAAGAATTCTCTCTAGTGTGGGTCTTTTCATGTATTCTAAGGGAACCACAACGAGTAAAGGCTTTCCCACACTGCTTACATATGTAGGGTTTCTCACCGGTGTGAATTTGTTCATGTCTTTGACAATCACCCAAAGCAGGGAAGGCTTTCCCACACTGCTTGCATGCATAGGGCCTTTCTCCACTGTGAATCCGCTCATGGCGTCTAAGAGAACTGTAACCACTGAAGGCTTTCCCACATTCCTTACAGTCATAGGGTTTTTCCCTAGTGTGAATCCTTTCATGGCGCTGGAGAGAACTCTGTATAGTGAAGGCTTTCCCACATTCCTTACATTTGTAGGGCTTCTCTCCAGTGTGAATTCGCTCATGTATTCGAAAGGTACCAGAAGAGATGAAACCTTTCCCACACTGTTCACAGACATAGGGCTTCTCACCACTGTGAATTCTTTCATGATTTCGAAGGGAAGTGCGAGTGGTGACGGCTTTATTACACAAGTTACAGACATAGAGCTTCTCTCCCGTGTGAGTCCGCTCATGTACTCGACAGGTACTGGAAGAAATGAAACACTTCCCACAGTACTTGCATACATATGGTTTTTCTCCACTGTGAATTCTTTCATGCCGAGGAAGCGAACTTTGACCAGTGAAAGCTTTCCCACAATACTTACAAATGAATGGTTTCTCTCCACTGTGAATCCTGTCGTGGCGTCGAAGGGAACCGCGACTAGGGAAGGCTTTCCCACAGTGGTTACATATGTAGGGCTTCTCACCAGTATGAGTTCTTTCATGTCTTCGAACCTTACTTGAAGAAGAAAAGGCTTTTCCACATTGCTGACATTTATATGGTTTCTCTATGGTGTGGTTATTGTCATGCTTCAGAAGACATTCAGGATACATCAAGGCTTTCCTATATTCCCTAAATTTATAGAGACTGTCTTCGTACACCTCATACCCATATGGTCTATGTCCTGTTTGACCAGGGTTATGCATACTTAGGGGGGGAAGACCAATAAGTATGTCTTCACTTAAATTGCTTTCACACAGCTTTACTCCATGAGGGGTTTTCTTGTTCACAACAGTACCTGGAAACTGGTTGAAGATTTTCTCACATTGTCTACCTTCACTAGGTCCATACAATAATTCCACCACTTCATTTCTGTGAAAAGTAGAAGGCACATTACTCAAATTTTGTTTACAAGTTACCTGTTAGAAGAATTGTTCATATTGCACCATTAGAATTCTTTAACATGGGTAGGGCGGTGGTGGCACACACCTTTAATCACAGCCTCTTGGGAGGCAGAGGCAAGTGGATCTCTGTGAGTTTGAGGCCAGCCTGGTCTACAAGAGTTAGTTCTAAAACATGCTCCAAAGTTACAGAGAAACCCTGTCTCGAAAAAAAAAAAAATCTTTAACATGAGCTAAATGTTTTACTAGTTTTTTTTAGAGGACCTCTATATGTGAAGATACTGGTGTGTGGATAAACATGTTTACCAAGTAAATGATTCTGCCCATGTCATTATGATTACTTATTTATTTATTTTTCATTATTCATTTGTGATGGAGAGTCTTGCTTTTTGATCTGATGGTCAAGCTGGCCTTGAACTCATTATCATCGACTGCTAGAACAATAATTAGTCAGTACTGAAGGTGCTTCTCTACAACATAAATGCTCTCTTTAAACAAAGCGCTTCCAGAAAACACTCTTAGAATTTGAAATATTTGCATATATGCATGCTATGTTGAAGATAAGAGCCAGTGACCAGTGTAAAGAAGAAATTCCTTCGAAGTTTTAAATTATTATTACTGGATAAGCAGGGAGAGGGCTGTGAGAATGGCAGAGGATGACTGTGGTGTCTCCTTTTACTTCCATCTTTATTTGGACTCTGGAGTTGAATTCAGGTTGCCTGCCTTGGGCAGCAAAGAGCCTTTACCCACTAAAGCATCTTGCTGGCCCTTTCTTCATTTTTGTTTTTTAAATATACTGCACTCTCAAAGTTCAGAAGGTAATGTCATACTATATATGTTTCGCTTTTATTTTTTATTTAAACTTAAGAAAATATTTCTTTTTATTTCAAACAAACTTTAAAGATTTGTTTTACTTTTAATTGTGTGTGTCTGTGTAGGTATGTGCACATAGTGTGGCATCTGTAGAGGCAAGAGCTCAGATCTCCTGGACCTGGATGGAGTACAGATGCTTGTGAGTTGCCCAATATGGATGCTGGGACCCAAACTCAGGCTCTAATCAAAAACAGCTTGGGTGATCTTAATCCTCAGGCCCCTACATCTATGTATGTATGTATGTATGTATGTATGTATGTATGTATGTATGTGTCTATCTATCTATCTATCTATCTATCTATCTATCTATCTATCTATCTATCTATCTATCTAATGTCTCTGTGGGTGTGGTCATAGGTGAGTGGGTGAGAATCCATGCATCTATCTATCTATCTATCTATCTATCTATCTATCTATCTATCTATC